CATCATCATCATCATCATCAATTATTGTTGTTATTCAGCCAACAGAGTAATTTGTTTGATTTTCAAAAATCAAATTTAAATTTACTTTCAGTAACTATCGCTTCGGCATTAATTCATTTGAGAGATTTGGAGTTGGACAAACAAATAAGCAAATCAGCATGATATAATAAAATTGAATCCATTGATGTATGTTTGTTTTGAGTGCTGTGGGCATTTTCATTCTGATGGTTTCGAAGGTCCGCTTCAGTATCCAAAAACATAAGACATGACGACCCACTGCAGTAAATACCAGTGTTAAGACACCTTTCTTTTTGTTTCTTTTGATTTCTATTTTCTCTAAAAAATTTTCCACCATTAAAAGGTTCTATCTCTGTTAAACTAGAAACGAACTCTAATCCTAAAAACTGAACTTTTTTATCTTTACCAATTAAACTATTAAACTTACTGCAATTAAACTATTAAACTTACTGCCATAGAGTCATTCCATTATCGCTATATGAAATTCCATTATCATTATATGAAAGTGAATAGATTGAACTGATATTCGTTATCTTCCTATCATTAACTGATGTTAATTTGCCAATTTCAACCACTGAAACTATAGAATCTTTTGAACCTCTAAAAACCAAAATTCATTTTTTAATATCCTGACGTACACTTATTCCCAGCGTTGATATACGGTTTAATGTATCTCTTAGCAACAGCACTTTCGCAATCACATTGGTCTTTACCTTTTTGTGGCGAATTGTGCTCATATCTAAAGAAGTGTACGCTTTTTACCTTGCAAATATAAAACAACGTTTCAGCAACTGAGTTAGCTAAATAGCACCCTAAAATAAAATCAGATAATGATATATAATAAATGTATAAAAATATGTATAATAATTTATAAAATCTAGTTGTGGATAAAAAACCAAACTACATCATCATTACATCATCATTACATGAGCCTAAATTAATACCCTCTCCACCTAAAATGCATTTAGTTTGCATGGCTTTAGTTTTTTTAGCAATAATTACAATAATTATATTCTTACCAGCATTATCATTTTTTTTTTTTTTTTGTAAATCTGTTTCATACTTGGAACATCTTGAGTAAACTAGTCAACTACATGGTCAGCCACACATAAAACGATACTTTATGTGTGGTTGACCATGTGGCTGATCAATACTTTTGAGAGTATCGTATTTAGGTTCTTCTTTCTCTTTATTTTTGGGTAGATTCTGGATTAGATTTTCAATCATCTCTAGACATCTACGAGTAACGTGCAGTTATAACACATTTCCAAATGGGAAGAGCAAGTGTTTGTATTAAATTCGTTATCTTTAGAATTACACAATGCACAGCTGATACAGTGGGAAGCAATATTTGACTTTTATATGCAATGCAAACCATACGTAGTCTTTAAATACCACTTTGCTTTTTCTAAACGTCTTTCTCCATCTTCTATTGTGTTTGCATCGTGCTTCATTAGAGAAATAAACCCATTTATGCCTTCACATGTCGTATATATCAAAGCCTGCTAGTGAATGCTGTTAGCTTGGTTTAATTGGTTTAAGAATTTTCCAAAGCAATTAATCTAATAAAACAGATTGGTTTATTGGTTTACAATAGTTTTGATACGAGTTTATGGTTTCCCACTTTGCCATTGTTAGAACAGCTATAGGTAGTACCTACGGAATAAAAATAAATATTCAAAATAAAATAAGGCAATATTTAGAATAATTTATTGATATTTTAAAGACTTATTCTTGAAAACAAGACATAAGAAAATGTGTGTCAAAACATACAATAAGATCGATTTTCAAATGGCATCAGAAATCATCAAACACATATTAAATGTAAAATAACTTGGCATGCAAGAAAAATAAGTTTTATGTAAATAATGTACCTGTTGATGTCCATCGGTTAAAGTAATTTTGCCTGTCTCATTAGCTATATCTTGAACTATGTAAATATATAATTTAGGAAGTGTTTTGCAAGATTCATATTCATTTTTTGTCGAGTTAACTTCTTGCTTTGTTTAAATGTTAGTGCCCATGTTTCCTTTCTTTGCCAAATCAGTATTCTTTCCTGGCCAAATCAGTTGCGTACCTAAAAAAAAAGTTAATTATTTTTTGAAGAATAAAAAAATGAACAATTAAGTGCTGCTAATTTAAATAGTCTTACTTGTTACATTTAAAAGTTTTTATTAGATATTCTTTTAAAAATTTTAGTAGTTGTATTGCGGTATTGCGGATAAATAAGTACTTTTTGGCTGAATGTTAGAGTGTTTTGATAAGCTTCATGTAGCAGTATCAAATCATTTGGAATAACTGATAATGGTTGCGTTGAGTCTTCCATAATCTCTAAAAATTGGGCTCTTTGTCTTGGTGCTGCTTTTTCAGAATAGATGTTTTTGAAGTTATACAACTACAGCTTTATTGAACTTTCTTTTATGGTAGTTAATTGTAGAAGTTGATGCCTCATTGATATGAGTTTTTCTAATATGCCATTTCACAGGGCTTAGATCTGGAGCGCTTGTCGCTAAGAATTCATTAACATTTTTTGAAGAAAAAGAGTTTTCTTGAGACACTAGATTAAGTATATAAGTAGGATCATTCTCTATTTGGTCATGATTTAGAAACATACTGTATTTAGAAACATACTGTCTTTGTGAATTTTGTGAATTCTGCACAGCTGACCAGATGCTGGAAAAGAACCAGAAAAACAATTTTTAATATTTTGATATTGGTCTTTTGTTGCTTTTCGGAGATCTTTTTGTTTGTCTCTTCCCTTATTTGTTGGAGGAACTTCATGGTAGGTGTCAGCATTGCTTTGGTACATATCAGATTTGCCATACTTTTGTTTGTGAAAAGCATATATAGCTTGTTCATTACTTAGTTTTTCATCTATTTGCGGCTCAATTACATGTTTTTTGGAAAAAACCACCAGCAAACACTTGCGTAAATTAATTAAATAACTAACAGAGACCAACCAAAATTAAAAAATTTGATTTATTAAATAACTACCGATTGTAACAGATTGTAACAGTTGTTTTTAAAGTTATTATTTTTATTTTTATTTATTTATTTTAAGTTATTTTAAATTAAAGAAATCTTCATTTAGGCAAAACCACTCATGAATTCTTTTAATTTATTGGAAGTATAAAATAAAAAAGTAAACAGGGGAATAAACCATTTGCAAAAAACTGTAAGTCAATAGCTCGATGGCACATTGATCTTTCGCTTCTCAAAGTTAGTATAAACTTTATCGTTTTTTTTAATGATTTTTAGACTAAGATTGAGTTTTAAACTAGTTTGACTCTATTTATAGTTAAAAAAAAACAACAGATTTTCTTTCTTAAAAACTTACTAATAACATAACATACTAATATAAGCCTTGATTAACCAGAGGCTTGGTGCTCAAAAGTACAGAATTTGCGTTATTGAACGCCCCTTGGGTAGTTTTGGGTAACGGGAAAAATATGTTGCAGATATTTTAAAAACTCAACTTTTTTCCTTAATATATAAAACTTGATATTTTATTCGTTTTTAAAAACTCAGCACTTCTTCTCATTTGTTTTTAAAAACTCAGCACTTCTTCTCATTTGTTTTTAAAAACTCAGCACTTCTTCTCATTTCAAACAACTTTTTTTTAACTGCATGAAGTTGCTACATCGAAACATGGAAAACTTTTAAAAATGATCAAGTCAACGTTTTATCAAACTTCAAACCGCAATAATTTTTGAACATATTTGAATTATGGTCTCAAATTTTTAGGTTTTTCTCATAGAATGATTTGAAAAGATCTCTGAAATTTTTAAGAAAATTCAATTACTCAACTATTTCAACTTGCCTCATTCTTATAAAAAAACGGCTCTTTACCTTTTAAATAATAAAGTTTACATTTCAAAGAACATTTACGTCTATGCAAAAAATCCCAAAAACAAATTAATACGCTCAAATAATTAAACTCAGATATATCCTATAACTTTTGCATCACCGCTCTAGTATTATTAATGTGTTAATAGTAAGTTATTATTTAGTTGGCCGTTCATTTTTAAAATTAAAAAAAAATAAAGTTTGTTTAAATATAATTTTAAATGTCTAAACCATTCAAACAAAATCGTATATATATACAACTTTATGTAAAGTTTGGGGTACGCTTTAATCTTTTTTAATGTATGGGTTTATTAAAAGTTATTAAAGGTTTACAATATTGACTATTATTAATAAATACCCAAAACGTTTAACAAACACGTTAGGTGAAGTTTCCCTCAGAACTATCAAACTTTTCAAAAAAAAATTTATCATTTTTTATTTAAAGTTTGTTAGATTTTTTTAAATTTAGTTTATTTCTTTAGAAAAAAGTTTAAATTTATAACAGAAAAGCATTGTAGTTTAGTAAATAAAAGATCGTAAATTTACGCTTCAAGTATGTTCTTAAATGTTTATTGAACGTTTATAATACTGAGTTACATTAGTAAATATTGTAAACGTTTAATCAACGTAAACGTTTAATCAACGTTTAATAGACGTATACATTAAAAGGTTTGCAATGTAGATTCAAAGCAACCGTCAATTTTTGGTCAATAATTGGTCGCTAAATGTTTTATCTATTTTTCTACCAATTTCGATAATTATTTGATCTATTCTGGACGACTCTTTATCTATTGATTATATTAACTGATTAATTTATTATCATAATATCTGTTTTTAGATGAAAATGGTCAAACGCGGCATAAGAAAAAACATAAAAGCGTTAACGGTTATGAAGCAAATCCTTTATTACCAGAAAAGATAAATTTAGCTACTTTATCAGGAGACAAAGATAAAAAAGCACCACTTACAATACAATCTCCATTAACTACAGAAGGTAGTAGTACACCAAATAAAGTAGTAAATGAAGGTAAAAATCGAGGCCCTATTCCAATAGATGGTATTGAAAATCTTACAGAAGAACATATTGATCCTCCACTGACTGCTCGTAAGTATAAAAAAAGTTATTTTTTTTTTAATTATGTTTATGTGTGTGTGTGTAAGAATTTAATGATATTTTTAACCTCGCCTCACGCAAATAATTGATTGAAAAAACATGAAAAAAATGCAATGCAAATTATATAAGAACTCGTACAACGGGTTATCATCGAGTGTGACTAAATTCTAAACAATTAGAGGACACGGGACATAAAAAAGACGTCTTTTAAACATCTTTTGATATTTTTAATTTACAGAATATTAAGGTTAAATAACCAAAAGTAAATGATGAAAAAATATCATGTAAATCATTGTATAATTTATAACCTTACAAATTTGGATTTGCTTTTGCACTATGGAGGAAAAAAATAAGAAAACCTATAATAGAAGTACCACAACATAAAAAATAATATGAAAAAATGAATTAAATAATGAAACTCGTTTGTAGAAACTGTCTGTAGGCTAAAGATTAAAACGATCAAATAAATATTTTAATCATAAAATATTTTCAAAAAAATAAAACTAAAAGTGAGTTTTATTTTTAATATTCGTTATATTGGTCATATTTTAACCTTCTAAAAAATGCTTATTATAAAGTAAAAAGTATATTTTAAAACATAAATTTAGCTATTACCTAATTAATATATTAATTGTTATAACAATTCCAACTCAACAAACCACATTGTATTGCTGACAATTGTCATATATAATTTATTTATTATTAGTCAAATATAATTTATTATTATTATTTATAACTCAAATATGATTTATTTATTATAAGTCAACAATACAATGTAGTTGATTGAGCTTAATGGTTGGTTAAGTTAACTCAACCAACCATTAAACTTAATCAACTACATTGTATTGTTGACTTATAATAAATAAATTATTACTCTGAAATAAAAATAAATATCAGTATTAATATTATTATATTACATTAACATGGAGTGATTTTCAAATGCAGTTTATTAATATTGTCGATAATGAAATACTTTATAAGATTAACTAAACTATATAAAATAAAATAAAGCATATTGTTATAAATTATGAAGTTTTATTAATAAGAATAGTATATATATATATATATATATATATATATATATATATATATATATATATATATATATATATATATATATATATATATATATATATATACATGTATATATATATATATATATATATATATATATATATATATATATATATATATATATATATATATATATATATATATATATATATATATATATATATATATATATATATATATATGTATATGTATATATATTATTATTATTATTATTATTATTATTATTATTATTATTATTATTGCTATGATTATTATTATTGTTATTATTATTATTATTTTTAGTTGGTGAAAAATTTAAGGATCTTATTCCGCCTGAACAGAAAATGATGTTAGGAAATAACTTGGATAACATTGAAAAAGCTAATAACCCACCTCTACCAAGAGCAGGTCTTGCCTCTGGTACGTCTGGTCTGGTTTTTTATTTCATAAAAATGTTTTTTAATAGTCATAATCAATACTTTTAATTCTAAAATTAAAAACCTTTTTTTTTAATTGAAACTTGCTTTTGTAGATCCGGACCGTGTATTTGTAGGAGGTGATGTTGTTCAATCACCTCAAGGACAAGTATCTCATCAAGATGATCCAGATCCAAATCCTACCCATAACGCACCATCAGATCCTGTTGGTGGGCAAGGACCAGTTGTTAACCCAGTAGCTGGTCATTTACTTAGTGCTTTAAACCAAAATGCTGTAACTCCTGAAGAAGCATTGCAAATGATGAATGACTTTATATCTGGAAATCAAGATATGCAAAAAGCAGCTTCAATAATGGACGGAATGTTGGGGAAAATATCTGCTCAAAGAAAACAAAGCAATAAGTTATTAGGAAGAGAAAATCATTTTATGGAAGATGTGAATAAAGTAAATACAGAAATAGAGCCTGGTTTCGCAGACCCATCTTTGATGAAAATGTTTCCTGAAAAATTTAGTGGAACACATTCAAATGTAGGAATGTTAAATGATCCATTTAACAACGATCATCACATTAGCGCTAATCAAAAACCCATTGGAGTAGAACCTATGTCTTTTGGAATAGAAGCCAATCCTTTAAGAGACCGAAATGTTGCAGATAATCTTGATGAAATAGCAGGAAACCGACTAGGAAATTATATGAATCTTGCAAGTGACAGTCCAAGTTATATAGCAAACAACAGAAATGGCATGTCTTCATCAGGAACAAATTTTAATGATGGTCATAGTAAAAATTATCTAAACGAACCAAATAGTTTTCTTGGACAAAATAACAATGCTATGGAAAAAAGTTTTGATTACGGTTATAACAATCCTTTATTTGAAAAACCACAAGCAATCGAATCTAATGAAATAAATAACTTTGATCAAAATGGTTATAATGAATTTCACAAAGACCAGAATCTATTAAAATCCTATGAAGAAAGTCCGACTTATAGATCACAAGAAAGTCCTACTTCACAAGTTAACACCGAAATACGGTTTAATTCAGACTTAACGGATAACTTGTTTCATAAAAATGGATTAGAGACATTTTCAAATATTGAATCAACCAGAAGAAAATCGGCAACGACAGGTTTTGATAGAACAGAGCAAGATAATTTTCCAAACCTTATGGGAGATTTAGCATCTGGAAACATTCATGTAGACATTCCTAATGGAAATGGAATGCGTGAGCCGGTTCACAATGACTTTCACAATGATGGTGTCAATGACGAATGGAAATCAAGAGAAAATCTTCATCAAGAAGAATACCAAAAATCAAATGATCAAAACTTTGCTCGAAAATATTTGACACCAAGTCCTATTCAAGTAAAAAGTGATGAAAATAATAACTTACAAGGAATGTCTAAAGGAGGTCTAGAAAAAAATAAACATGCGCTTGCAGACATGTACACCGATTCAATTTTTCCTGAAGACTTTGAAGACATTCAATCACTTAAAGGTGATTTACAGGGACAAACGTTGACGTCTTATGACCGGCCTCAACAGCAAAAACAGATTAAAACAAAGAAAGGAAGTTTTATCCGTTCGGAGTTAAAAGCTTCTTATCCTTTAGAAGCCTCTGCTCTTGGTGGGATGTGGGGAGGTATATTTTTATATTGTATTTACATTTATATAAAAACCTACAGGCAAATTTTTTTTTCATTAAAACGTTACTATCATAAAAAAAGTATATAGTAAAACTCTAATTTAAACATTTTTATTCTAAATATTAGCAGGCGAAGCCCGATCGACTGTGCCTAAATCAAAGATTCCTACAAAAAGACAAAGTGTGGCAAAAAAGAATTTAAATTATAAGAAAAAATTATCAAACAAAACAAAATCAAATAAAAAGTTTCTTCGCCGTGAAAGACGAGAAGAACGGAGTTTAAATAAAAATATTTTGTTAAACACCTCATTAATACCACGCAAACATTTGCTTTATAACGGATTTAGTGAAAATACTTTTAAAAATATTGTTCAAGATTCAAACGTTTTAAAAATCGAATATCCAGTTAATTATTTAAAATCTTCAAAAAACAATATTTCAACTTCCACTGCTTTAAAAAGCGAAGTTGTCAAAGATTCGGATTTACAAAATGGTCAAAACAAATTGAAAAACCAAAAAACTGACAAAAACACTATTATTGACAGTACAAAATTAAACAGCAAAATTAACAACGGGTATAAATATTTGCAACACAGCAACATAAAAAGCGTTTTTCGAAAAATTGAAAGAACCAAGAACATCACGCTTAATCAAAAAGGTGAGTTAAATTCTTTCTACAACCAAAGAAAAGGTGTGGAGGGTATAAAAAAAGGCGTTGAAAATATTCAAAAAACAGCTAATGCAAATAATCATAAATTAACTTTAAAAGAATCTTCATTTGAAAAAACTAACTTAACAAATAATAATATAAATCTATCTATAAACTCACTTACCTCTACGGATATTTCAAGTGATACTTCCTTGTATCCGGACAAAACAGATTGGGCAGATATTCAGGTTGATAACGCAGATGATCTCAAAGGTGTAGATAAGATTGCAGAGAAAGTTGCAGAGAGCCAAAGTAACATTGTAAAAGTAAATTACACAAACAAAATTGTAAATCCAATGCAAGTCAAACTAATTCTAAAAAAAGTTCCTTTAAAAACAAGTCAAACATTTAACTTGACAAAAATAGAAAACCCAGTTGTTAACCAAACGCTTATAAAAAATCCTAAGTCTTTAAATGGAACAAAAAGTAGCAAACAGCTAAAACCATTAAAAACTGCGTTTGCAATAAAATATGAGGGAAAACCTTCAAGTGCAAAACTACTTCAAACAAATCACACTAACCATGAAAACGCTCCAATTAATTTTGATACTAATGATAACTTACTAACCAACTCATACAAACCTGGCATGCAAGTAGAAGAGCTTGGTAAATAGCTTAGTTTGAATTTTATATCCAACGGTATATATTTTGATACAAATTAAATTAAACACTTATACTTTTTTATTAAGTTTACTAATGTACCCATAAGATTTTTTTTTTAAAAAATGTTGTTTTCTATAGATCCAAATCAATCAACAGAAGTAAGCGATAAAGGTCTACGTGAACTCATGAGAGAGTTGAAAGATGTTTTGTACAGACTTCGTCAATATAAATTAAAAGCAAAAAGGCTTCATCAAAGTCACCATAGAAACCGAAATCGAAACTATTATATAAATAATGTGTAGGTTATATTTTTATCATTTTTTTTTTAAGATTAATTCTGCTATTTAAAGACGGAAATAGGTGAATTTGTATTTCAAAAACTTTTTTTTTCAAATTTTATAACTATTACATTTAACTCTCTTCTCAATTTAAAGTCCTATCAATCCTTTAAAAATTGCCCTTAAAAATGTTGGGGTCATTTAAATGAAATTTAATTTGAATATTTGTAATGGATTGTTTTTGTAAACAATCAAACTCGTATTTACCATTGCTGTTATTATTATGGTTTCATATTCAGCATTTTTTTTTGTTTTTAACTTTGATTGTGTATTGAATTGCAGGTGTGCTTTGTTTAAGATATTTGTAATTCTTCTTCTAAATGCTTCTTATATATATATATATATATATATATATATATATATATATATATATATATATATATATATATATATATATATATATATATATATATATATATATATATATATATATATATATATATATATATATATATATATATATATATATATATATATATATATATATATATATATATATATATATATAGATATATATAAATACACACACATTAGGGTGTGTCGTACTTTTAAAATATTGAATATGGGAACGCGCGCAATATTTTTTTTGTGTATTAGGATATTAGAAGAGACGTGAATAATTTTTTTTTTCTTAAAAAGTTTATCTAGTGTGGGCGCAGTGCGTTTGAAAAATGTCAGTTTTACGAAAAACTCATTATATTGGCATTTTTATCAAAAAACAATCAGACATAATATAGACATAAAAACAAAACATAATATTTGGTGCTACTTTTCTTAATGCTATACAAACACGGTAGAAAAGTTGTCTACCATTATGGGTTTTACTAAAAAATACCAATGTATAAATGTTAGAAATGAGATTGCGCGCAATATTTTTTTTTTTATGTATTAGGATATTAGAAAAGACGTGAATATTTTTTTTCTTAAAAAGTTTGTTTTGTGTGGACGGAGGGCGTTTAAAAAATGTCAGTCTTACGAAAAACTCTAGTATAATAAATTTGTCATACTAAAAAAATTAGTATGACAAATTTATTATTGTTATTTTCAATATGCATAATGCTATTAATATAAAATGAGGTGAATCATAAAATATTGTCATCAAAGTTTGTGGGCTCGGGGCTTACATCCCCTTCCATTATTATTAAAAACCATAAAAATTGGTTAATAACAGGAAATGGTGTATGATTTTTTATTTGTTATAAAGTTCCAATAGCTTATTTGTAGAATAATTACTAAGATAATAGTTTCCTGACGATTTGTGTTTTAAACGTGTTCTTTTTATTTACTTTGGCATCTTAAATATTGCAATAAAAATGATGTAATTAACAAATTTATAACATATATATATAAAGGTAGTCTTTTTACTACTACAAAAAGCTACCAAAATTTCTAAACAAGCATAACATCAATTTCATTGCTATAAATGGCTATATCTACTTGAACTCAAACAATATTAAAATGCCCTATATAGCATAAACTATTGGGTAATGGACTCGAACTTTGTTTATTAGAGCTGCCTACACTGAAAGATTGTTTACGATATGGAATTTTGTTACGCGATAGATCAGTTACACATTTGGGTACAAGATTTATGTGTATATAAATATTTATTAAAATAAAAAGTATTTGGATGTCAGCAAGTTCTACAATACCGTTGGTCTCAGAAAAATATGCAGTCAATAAACTTGTCCTTGAATGGAACATTGCAAAAGACTTTGGAAAATTGAGAGCTACGAAAAAAAGAAATATGTATACGGACAAACTTGTTAAGTTATTTAACTTGACAAAATGTAAGTGCAAAATCTTAAGCTGTAATGAAAATTGCAAAAACTATTTTTCCTACAAGCTCAAAGAAATAAAATTAATAACAAAAGTTCTTTAAAAATAGAATTAGTTGATATATCAGAGACACATCGGTTAACAAGATATTTGCGTAGAAAAAAAAATTAGACTTTAAAATACCTGGAGCAAATAGTGAGGATATAGGTAAATGATAAAATATTAAAAGTATTTTTGTCAACTTTTGTTTAAACTGTGAATCAAAAAATTGAGTACAAATTGAGTATAAATTGTTTTCATTAAAAATATTTAACATAATTTATTTTCTCCTTTAGCAGTAGAATTTCAAACAACAGAAAATTCGGACATTGGCAACGAAAAAGCAAATAATACAGAAAAAGCTGACTTTAGTTTGAAAAAAAAATTACTTAGATATTACCAGGGTTTTTCAAGCAGCTATTAGGTATGGTGTATCTAACAGAGCTGCAGCAGGCATAGTGCTACTACTTTAGCTTCTGCAAAAGATGCACATTGTTTAAAGAAAATACTAATATTTTCTTTGACCACCACAAAATAAAACAATGTAAGACTAAGTTAATGAAAGAAATCCGAGGTAGAACTGAAAAAGTAGCAATGAATGATAATATTCAATGTATATCTTTTGATTCAATGTATATCTTTTGATTAACTATGTACATGAGAAAAGAAAAAGATGGAAAATTACAGCCATCGGCAAAAAAAGAAGAACATTTTCAGTTTGTTCTAAACCTGCAGGAAATTACCAATTTCATTTAACTAACCATTATGAAGAAAGAGTAGAAACTGCAGCTGAGCAAATAGCGGATAACCATTATGAATGAATTGTGAACCATGTTGTTGGAGACTATTTAGTTGCCATTGGTGCGGACTCAACAAATTTAAATACTGGTTGGAAAGAAGGTGTACCTTGAACCTAAATTGGATAAAAAACTAATGTGGATAACTCGTGCTCTTCATACAAATGAACTACCTCTTCGGCATCTTATGATTCAATTTGACGGAAAAACTGCATCTAAAATAAACTTTTCTGGTTCAATTGGAAAACTTATAGGTAAGGCAACTAGCTTCAAAGTCAAAAATAGCATAATAAAAATTGAATTTTCTAATGCAATAATAGAACTCGACTCTGAAGTTGTAAAATTGCTATCAGATGATCAAAAGTATCTTTATCAAATTACTCATGCAATTAACGCTGGGGTTTTTCCGTAAAATCTTAGAAATTGGACCAAATTTGCATGCAAGATGGTTGAATTTCGCAAATAGAATATGTTTACTTTGGTGCTCCGAAATCGTACTTTCAGTTGAAGAAACATATAATCTTCAACTTCTGGCGGAGTTTGTTGTTGGAGTTTATGCGCCACTTTGGTTTGAAATGAAAGTAGAAGTGGACTGAGGGGCCTTACCATACACTCAAGCAATTAAAAATTCTTAGTCATCAAAGACTTAAAGTTAAAGACATGCCCTATGTTTTATCTTCTTCATGGAATGCTCATAGTGAAAATGTTCCTCAAGCATGATTATGAGTCTAGAAAAAACAGAAAGACAATTTGCAGTTGAAACAATTTTAAAATAAAGAGGAGATTACACTAATGTATGAATGCACTAATGTAAGAAGTAGAAAACATATACGTAATAAAAATGTAATAATACGTAATAAAAAACATATACGTAATAAAAATGCTGAATCACTTTTTAATCTAATTGATTGGAGTTTGGATGTACACGAACATTTACTTACATGTTTATTGTCAAAAGACGAACTTTTAAAATACAAAGATATTCTGATGTACGTACCTTGTTTTCTTGTTCATGGGCACTATATATATATATATATATATATATATATATATATATATATATATATATATATATATATATATATATATATATATATATATATATATATATATATATATATATATATATATATATATATATACATATATATATATATATATATATATATATATATATATATATATATATATATATATATATATATATATATATATATATATATATATATATATTTTAAGTTGATTAAGGTGCCCCAAGAAGTCCTTACGGTCTTATCACAGAGCACCGCGGAAGAGCATTTAATAGGAAGTTCACGCCTCTTTCCCAACCGATGTCGAAAAACTTGCCTAGAGTTAGGGTTTGAACCACGGATCTTACGTTTCTGAGGCAAGTGCGCTACCACTGCGCCGTGGCTGCTCAAAATATATATATATATATATATATATATATATATATATATATATATATATATATATATATATATATATATATATATATATATATATATATATATATATATATATATATATATATATATATATATACAATATATATATATATACATACAATATACATATATGTATATACAATATATATATATATATATATATATATATATATATATATATATATATATATATATATTTATCATAAACTATCTTGGATACCTATCATAATAAGTTATCATAAACTATCTTGGATACCTATTATTGGCCCAAAACTCCGAAGAGAGTTTAAAAAAACAAAACATTAGAGTTATATTTACTTCAGCTCCCAATTTAAATAACATATTATGCAACAACAAAACAAAACTACCTCCGAACTCAAATACGGGAGTTTATCAACTTAAATGCTCATACGGAAATATATATATATATATATATATATATATATATATATATATATATATATATATATATATATATATATATATATATATATATATATATATATATATATATATATATATATATATATATTGTATATACATATATATATATTGTATATATATATATATATATATATATATATATAATATATATATATATATATATATATATATATATATATATATATATATATATATATATATATATATATATATATATATATATATATATATTTCCGTATGAGCATTTAAGTTGATAAACTCCCGTATTTGAGTTCGGAGGTAGTTTTGTTTTGTATATATATATATATATATATATATATATATATATATATATATATATATATATATATATATATATATATATATATGTATATATATATATATATATATATATATATATATATATATATATATATTGTATATACATATATATATATTGTATATATATATATATATATATATATATATATATATATATATATATATATATATATATATATATATATATATTTCCGTATGAGCATTTAAGTTGATAAACTCCCGTATTTGAGTTCGGAGGTAGTTTTGTTTTGTATATATATATATATATATATATATATATATATATATATATATATATATATATATATATATATATATATATATATATATATATATATATATATATTGTATATACATATATATATATTGTATATATATATATATATATATATATATATATATATATATATATATATATATATATATATATATATATATATATATATATATATATATATATATATATATATATATATTTCCGTATGAGCATTTAAGTTGATAAACTCCCGTATTTGAGTTCGGAGGTAGTTTTGTTTTGTTGTTGCATAATATGTTATTTAAATTGGGAGCTGAAGTAAATATAACTCTAATGTTTTGTTTTTTTAAACTCTCTTCGGAGTTTTGGGCCAATAATAGGTATCCAAGATAGTTTATGATAACTTTTGATCTAATTGATTAGATGTAGTGTTTTTTGAAATGCCGTCTAAATAGTTTTTGGTTATTTTAATTAAATTATTTTTGTTATAGCCGTTTTCAAAAAATGTATTTATGAGGAAATCAATTTCTTGTGAGAGATATTTTTGAGAGCAGACTTGTTTTACTCGACATAAAAAACCTTTAAAGACGCCAGTGGTTATGCTTGGGTTGATGTTGGAGTTTGGTTTTATTTGAACATTTGTTATTACATCCTTACGGTGTACTTGAAACTCATAAAATCCATTCATTGTATTTGTAATACAAATATCTAAAAAATTAAGTTGTTTTCTTTTGTTTTCAAGTTCAACGGTATATTTTATGGAGGGGTTTTGTTCATTTAAAGCTTTAAGAAATAGTTCTTGCTTTTCTTTTGAATCAAAGCGAGCATGGCAATCATCCACATATCTTTTGTAAGTTATTGGTTGGAATGAACTAACAAAGGCTATATCAAGTGCTCTTTTTTCTATACTTTGCAAAAATGCTTCAGTTATGACTACCATCAATGACAAATCAATTGGACCTGAATTAGGTAAAACTCGGATTTTATCTTCGTATAAAAAGTAACATATGCTTAACAATAGTTCAATTAATTGGTGTATATCTATGAGAGGTAATTTAGTCCTAGTTTTTAAATCTTAAAAATCATCGTTCAATATGTTAATAATAACAGGAATTGCTTCATTAGTTGGTACGGATGGATATAAATTAATTACATCGAAAGAAACCTGAATTTCATTAGGGCCTATCTTCTATTCTTTAGCACCGTTGACAAAGTTTCTTGAATTAATTAGTCGAGTTATTTCTTTGTTTAATGTTGGTTGGACAATTTTAACCAGATACTCAGATGTTGCATAAGGAGGTGTGTTAATAGTAGAAACAACAGGACGCATTGGGAAGTTTTTTTCCGGGTTGTGTGCTTTAACCATTCCATAGATTCTAGGTGGAACGCAATCTGATGGATATATTTTAAAATAAGTAGCATTGTCTAACTTACCTTGATTTCTTAATTTACATAATAATTTTTTAAATTTAGTAGTGAATGTGGGTGTTGGGTCGTATTCAATAATTTTACTATTTTTTATTTGCTCTTCTAATTTCGCTTTTGCTTCATTTTCGTATAATAAAGCAAAACCTGTTCCTTTGTCAAACGGATATATCTTTAGATGTGAATGTTTTTTCAGGTTTTCTAAAGAAAAGCGTTGCTGTTTTGTTAAATTATCTTTTATTTTTAACATTTAATTTTAATTTTTGAATTTTATATATATATATATATATATATATATATATATATATATATATATATATATATATATATATATATATATATATATATATATATATATATTGGTTATATGTATATAAAAAGTTTTAGTTAAGGCTTAATTCAAATTAAATTTAAAGATACCAAGAAAGAATGCCTTTTATTGGGGAAACTCTGAATAATCAAGGACTATTGCGGTTGCCAGAAAGAAAACCGTTTACTGGAGAAGCAGCTCTCAGCAACCAAGCCTTGTCACGTTTGCAAGGAATCGATCGCGGAGAAATTGAGTCAGCAATAGCTTCACTCAATGAGCCAGTTCAACATCCAGTAGTAAAAGACATGGATATAGAAAATTATCTTCAAGAAGTGTATGATCCAGGAATGCGTGGGTTTGAAGGACCATTAGGAAGGATAGAATCATCTCCAACAATAAAAGATGAACCTATATCAAACGCAGGTGTTTATCCAGATATGGAGGAACTTTCTTCTTTTGATAATTCATATGAAAACAATTCCGGTAAATAAACTTTACTAAAACTGTTTGCGAAATAAATTTTTTTGTTTTGTTTATTAAATAATATTTATAAATAAAAAATATCAAAATAATTATCAACTTACTTTTAAGGTTCATATTCAAAACGTGAAACATTACCACGCGTGAAAAACTTGAAACATTACCACACGTAAAAATATTCAAAACGTGAAACATTACCACACCTGAAAATAGAAAAAAAGGAAAACAAATCCCTTAAATATTTGCAGTTGAGTTAAACTAAAAAGGAATTAAAAGGTATAAGAATACAAAGAACAACTATACATAATTATGCAATTATGCAATAGAAACAACAATTTATTATTATACAATAAAAACAGCAACTTTTATGCAATAAGCATAGCGATGCAGCATTTTGCAATAAAATAATACAAGCAAAAAGAGACTTGTTTTTGTAATTGACTTTTTGAATTTGTTGAATCCTACAAATTTTCATTTTCCACCTTGAATTAGTTTTTTTTTTTTAATAAAAAACTTTTGATCAAAAATTGTTAACAAAGTTTTGTAAAACCATAAACTATTTCCCAGTTTCCCAGCTCTCAATCCTAGCTCCCTGTTAAATTTTTTTTTTTTATCCGGAATCATAAAACTTATTCTTGGTTATCAATATTATTTCAGATTTTTGATTATAAACAAAAAATAATTTTTAAATGTAAATTATCTTTCATAAAAAGTTTAACTATAAATATTGATGATAACATATTCTCTCTTATTAAAAGGTTTATCAACACTTAATAATTCCTCGCTACAGAGCTGACCCTAGCACTATATTTTTAAACCAAACCCAGCCAATAAGTACGATTAAAAAAAGCGTTCCATGCCATATTTTGTTTTATTATATAAAATATGATATTGTTACATATTATATATTCAGATTAAAAAAATGTGCAAAAAAAAGAGATTTATCTAAAGTTATGTAGTGGTAAATATATGGTTAAATAGTGATGGATTTATGGTTTTACAATGTTGTTATGATGTACCTTAGCTTTGCAATGTTAAAACCATTAGTTTAAGTTATAAACCTCTTTGTTAGACATTGTAAAGTAGAATTTTTGAGTTTTCTTTCTAAAAACAGCGTTTTTAGAAATTTGTACATATATATTTGTACATTACGAAATATTGTGAAAAATTGATATATTTTTAAATCAACTTTAAAATGTAATATAGAATTTGGTACGTTAAGAATGATATGTATTTATATATATATATATATCTTACTATATATTATATTATATCTTGTTTTGTTTTAAATTATATTGACTATAAAATTTAAAGACATATTTGATTTTATAAGGAATATTACAACACTAGGTTTGTATTAAATTTTTTTACAAATATAATTAGCATAAATAATTTGCAAGTTAGTGTTAATTAGTTTCAGTTTTGCTTAAATTATGTCTATGTTTTTAAACGTATGTAAAAAATAAAAATTTTATGAATCGCAAAATAATGATACTAGAAAAAAACCATATTATAATGTTTAAAAAACTTCTTCAAAGCTCGATGAAATAAAAAGAAAAATTAAACAAGTAAACCCTATTAAGTATCAATTGATAATATTTATCGTAGAAAAGAGCATATTACAATGATAAACTTTTCAATAAAGATTACATATCTTCTTGAATCACGTATGGAAAAAAAAGTTCATTTTTAATAGACTTGTTTTCAAAAATCTTTTAAATTTGATTAACAAGGATAAATATCTAAAACAAAACAAGATAGATTACCCAGGGCCGTCCCGAAGAGGTCTTCCATGAAGGAAGGGGGGGTGGGGAGGTGTAAATATTTTTTTGCCAACTAAGGACACAAAAAAAAATCCTCAATACTTGAAATTTGCCAACTATAAATATAGAAAACTATATTTATATTTAAATTTGCCAACTATAACTTTAATATAAATATAGTTGGCAAAATGTTAACTATGTTAATAAATATAGTTGGCAAAATGCAAACTCAAAAAGCATTTCAGTTAGCACCCCCCCCCCCCATCCTTTAGGACGGCCTTGAGATTACCTTACAAAAATTGAATGTAAATGAATCAATTTAATCCTTAAATTGCATGTGTATGTAAGGAAAATGTTGAAGAATCTAGTTGCCTACTTATTGAAACGAAACTACCAAACAATTTAAAAAACCTAAAAAAATTAACTCACCGGCATCACATTTAAATCCATTTCTGCATCTAATTTCATCACCTTTGTACAGAAACAAAACATAAATAAAGGATAACTGGGATTTTTTAAGAAAGATTCCAGAAGAATTTGAATTGGATATTTTTATATTAACATATGACATTTACGTTAAAATTCTTTTCAATTCTCGGTTCTTTTTATATATTTCTATATATATATATATATATATATATGTATATATATATATATATATATATATATATATATATATATATATATATATATATATATATATATATATATATATATATATATATATATATTAATTTATAAAAATAAAGAAAACAACTTTTTATGGTACTAATAGTTTCATGCCTAAAGGCAATTATCAGCCAAAACAAAAAAAACCGTTAAAATATAAAGTTACAGTGGAGTGTGCTCCGTCGCCAAAACAAAACAAAAACAAAAAGATAAGAAAAAACTAAAAACGGCTGCCTAATCATCCGTATCGAATTTCGAAAGGAGGAATTTGCTTTTATGTCTACATTTAGATACTAAGTCATTCCTCTTATTTAATAAGTTATCATAGGTGTACGATATTATGAAATACTTTTCGTATAGACATAAGTTGCATCGTTTTATTGTGTGATTGTAAGATCTACAACGTTTTAAAATTTTCCATTTAATTGTCGGGTTTACTCCATTTTCTTTTAACTTCCATACTTCCTTAGACAACTCAGTATCGTTTTTATATTTTTCGATGTTAAAAGATTTTGTATGATTAGCGTATCTAAGTTTAAAAGCAGTTTCACTTACTCCAAAATACACTTTTTCAATCCCGTCTGGAGTGCCTGGATATAGAGTGGCTTGATACACTATGTTATTAACGAGGCACTGTTGATTTAAAGGGCACTTGCTTTTAGTAATACAATTGCAACTTTTATATGATTCTGGGGGGATGTTTTTCATAATATGACGGTTATGAAAGTTAACGATTGATTTAATGTTTGGCATACAACTGTAACTCACCTTTAGAGTATTTCTATTAAAAATCTTATGGTATTTATGGCCAACTGGAAAGTGCTTGTCAATTAAATCCAAAAAGATTTTACCAATTTTAGTAGAAACATTTTTACTATATGGGGGGTTAAACCAGATTATATTGCGCTTACGGTTTTTTGGTAGAGGTTGAATGAGTTTCGGAATATAACTAAGTTTAAATTTGTAACCAGACTTTTTTAATGCATCCTGATACAAATGAGCAGAGCTGGGTGCAGGTGATTCTGAGGCAAGTGCTTGCATACAGCGCCCTTTTTGCTTTTTAACAGAACAGTTAATGTTGTTTCAAACTAACTGTAATATTAAAGAGGAGTTAATGAAAAGGTTGAAGAAGTTGGTCAAGTGTGATGTCCCTGAGTAAGTTCTCATAAGAAAACTGAAGTTACCGGTTATTAGTAGGTTAACGGAGTTTACTATACTTGTAGGTTCCTAGAACTGAATTTTTCAAGGTTGTTAAGATTCCTTTTTACAAAATGAAAAAGTGGATCTAGAGCATTTCCAGTCAGACATTTGATGTATTTAAAAGGTTTTTAAAGCTAGTTAAATGTGTCATAACTATGCTAAAAAAAGTATCCGACTGATCAAGGACTTTGCTAGAGGCCACAGGTCAAACAACATAGAAAAAACCTCATCCTGGTTGCCCTAAAGAATCTTTAAAAAAGAAGCATCATTAAGAATGTGTTTTTTTTAAATGGAAGTATATATTATTAAAGGAGTTAAAATCCGTTATATTTTTCCTTATAAGGCATTTTTTATTTCAAAATCAAGTTTTAAAGATAACACGAATAAAAAACGTGTTTTTGGTATTTATATTCAATTTAAAGCTTAAAGAATGGAAAAAACTTGAGAGGTATTTTTTTTTGCTACACCCTAATGAGGAATGACTGTTTAACACAAAAAAGGCAGAAAACTTAGAGAGAGATTGTTGGTTCAGTTGGCTGTAGTAGAAATATAATTAACAATACTGTTAGACATTTTCAAACGTATTACGTTTGATTGTTTAGCATTAAAGTGAAAGGGCATCCTAGAAAGAAAAAAAAATTAGAAAGTTGAGCCGTCAAAACTATATCCAAATAAAACAACCCATTTAAAACTGCGAAATTAAAAATTAAGTAGGAGATCTCAGTTATGATCTCAGAATATGTCATGAAAGTCGTTGGAAAAAAAAATATTTATGATTTAATTTTTGGAAATTTCTGTTATTCTTCAAAATAACAAACATATCAAAACTGACATATAACATAAAGAAACAAATATTTATGATTCTTTAAACTTTAATAGTCGTCATTCTTATTTTCAAGTTAAGCAAGATTTATTTTGCTCAATTGTTATTACAATTCGATTTTACTGTTTTCTTATTTTGCACATCATGAAAAAGTGCAAACAAAGTTATTCTTTAAAAAACGTTTTTTAAAAACAGCACACTTTTATTTTAAAATCAAAAGAATATTAAAACGCATTGAGTTTGTCCATAATTTGCGGCATGCAACTTGGACCACTTTTGAACCTTTCCTCCACCCGCTTCACAACATCTTAACTCTTTAATAACAAGTTCCGTACAAGTCGTCACAAACCACTAACCCTGATTCCATAGAGACATTAAGACACTTTTTAACAAAGTTAACTAAGAATTATATAAAATAAACGAATGGTTCATGTGTAACAAACTCTCTTTGAAGACTAAATTCATCCTATTTCATAAATAAAATAAAAATAAAAATATTTCTCTTAAACTTAAATATGTGGTAGTGGTGTAGTGGTAGAGCGCTCGCTTCATAAGCGAGATTCCGAGTTCGATCCCCACCACGCCTCTAGTAGTACCGCGCTCAACTTGTTTCTCCGCGCAGCGGCCATGTTCGTCAAGGTTCGTGTTTCGTAGATATAGAGTTGAGAGAGGGTTATAACCACAATTAAGTAGCCTCCTCGTCTGTAGTGGCCTTCACGACCTTAAGGTGGTGAAATAACAAAAAAAAAAAAAAAAAAACTACCTGATCTAAAAATAAATACTACTAATATAAAAGAAAGACTTTCATAAACTTCCTAGGTGTAGTCTTGGATGAGAATTTGTCATAAGGTTCAATATAAAAACCTTAGAGAGAAAGCTCCTAAGAAATATTTCATTATGATTAAAACAAAACCTTTCCTAAACATCATCTTCTTAAAAAGTTTTTATTTTTCATTAAAACTTTGTTACCTAAGCTATAATA